CAGGATCTAGCTCCGGGTAAGTCCCAGATGAAAGCTCTGTGCTGCCTTCTTCATCTGAAGCACGCCATGCAGCAGCCTGTGGCAGCAACGTTGCAACCTGATGAGGCAAACCAACCGAATTTGAGGCAACAACAGGAGGTTGGGTACCCGCAAAAGCCTGGAGGGCTGCTGAATCGGACTGTAAAATCGGCAAGGCAACCTGCGGTGGCCAATCGAAAGGTGTGGGATCCCCCAAAGGCGGGGGGACGGAAGGGAGAGGTTGAGAATCTTCGCCAAGAGGTCCTGTGGGCGCAGCCATAGGGTCAGAAGGGAGACCTGCAGGCTGAGTATCTGAAGCTGTGATACCGGACTGTAAATGAAGGTTGCTTGGGGAATCAAGTTGTGGGCCTGGCATGTGGAATGTTCTCGCCGGACGGCGGTGCTGATAAGGGATTACAGGGCTCGCAGGGTATGTAGTCAGGGGAGGCATGCTTTCGCGGCCTGCTGGTTGGGTTTGTCGCATTGCGCGCTCAAACGCCAGAGGTTCCAGCTCCAAGTCGAAGGCTATCCTTGCCACCTGCTCAGCGGCGTCCATCGGACCATCTGGGTTGGTGCTTTGGGGCACAGGTGGCGCGAGGTCCTCCTGCATTTCTGCACACACTTCTATTAGCTGGGATAAAGTGTCGTCTTCTTCAGTGCTTCCCTTGCTGCTCGACAGCCTGCGAATCCAAGTTCCTGGGGCTGCCTCTGTGGAGGCAGACGTGGAGGTTCTGCAAATTGTCCTCAGCACTGACACGATAAGAGCCGGAATTAGTGAGAAAAGCAAAACCCTGCGGAATCTACTGCGGGGCCCCGCTGCCAATAGTTGTCCTCCTACTAAGTAACTGTGCCTCCGGTAGTCCTCGCCTGGCACACCAGCAGCACCTTCTGCAGCGTGCTCCCATATGCGATGACTCGGTATTTGTGTCGATGCAGACCGCGGAATGTCTGAAGGCTCATGTTCTTGTGTCTGGCGACCCTCACAAAGAACGGTAGACTCCATCTTCTCGAGCTACCGTTCACTGCACTGAAAATATACAGCATCCTGTGCTCCTGCGAAGTCTGCACTTGAACTGCAGTATGGCAGGTGACCATTGCCAGCACGTCGCATGAGGAAAAGAAGTTCACGGTTACAACTCACGATGCACGTCCTTACCAAAACTCTATATCTTCGTAAAAGTGGAATATTAAATTCTTTAGGTAGGATGACTAGAAGGAGAGGGAGATTGAACTTCCTTATCTCTCCGTCCGCCTACGATATGCTGGTTACATCGCGGAAGAGCCGGTCACGACAAACAGAAGTACGCAGGAGTGACACTGATGACTCTCCTCCGTTTCCACACATAACCTTATTTACAAGCAGGTTTGGCTACGTTATACTTTTATGCAGTTCCGGTTCTCGCCTGCATGCATCATTTTGGGGAGCGATGCGTGGCTTCGCTGCACCTGGCAAAAGCAATAATGGGAGCAGGTTCCCCCTACTGAGCGCAAGACAGCGCCTCGAGCAAGAGCTAAGAACGTCAAGTTTAGCATTGTGGTTTTGTTATAATGGGTTCATTCTACATGCTCAAGGCAGCCAGTTTTAGGCTGTCGCGGGTGCTGCTAGTTTTGCTGTGGTAATTAGTCCATTGCAGTGCCACATGCTTTCTGCATGGGCTATGGGAAGCAGCATTAGTGTAGGTAGATCTGAGCACGCCTTTTTGTAATACGCTATATGGAGGAATTACGCTACTAGAGAGGGAGCTGTAGCGGGGTGTAATCACGCTACTCAGCCCTGGCCAGGTACTACTGGAGTAATCGACATGAGAAGTGGTCCTGCTAGGCGTGCACCAGAACATTTAGCGCCTGAGCGAGCTTCGCGAAAAGTACCAAAGCCCTAATTCAGTCGTCACTAGCCACGATATTAAGCTGCCATGAATCAAGGATGACACGGCAGCCGTTTCAGAACCTGCGCAGGCCTCCTCCCCAATGCGCACACTCCCCCACTCCGTGTCATTAGCCTCTTGCATATGGCTACTTCTGCGTAATTCAGTTGCCCAAAAACAGTAATATTTCCCACTAGGCGCCAATATCTTGTGGATTGGGCTACATATCATTGTATGCATACTGTCACCACCCGCCCAGACGAACGGCACGACTACATCGAATTGAGCACATCCTAAAAAGCTAAAAATGAATAATGGAACCCGTCCACAATGTGCCTTTGCAGTTCACTTGGTTGGATGGACTTTGCCCCCAGGTTCGTCCACCTCTTGTGGTGCTAGTTCCATTGGCTGCTCGTTTCCCGCCGGTACAAATGCTATACCGTCGCAAACCAAAAGCCGTCCTTCTTGTGTCAATAGAGTGCACTAATTCACAGATGCAAGGCTTCATTTACACCTAAATGTACGGCAAAGTGCTCTCCGTCCATAGCTCCAAGCTTCGAAGCGTAACGTGCAATGAATCCTGGCCTAATGGGGGCTTCTCGGTGTGAAATTTGCGTATCGGTGGGAATTACCGTACTCGATGTTTGTGCCACAGTTATAGGTGGCTTGCGGATCCGGGGACCCGATAGCCGGTGGCGAAATGTTCTCCAAAAGACTTTCATCAAGTGGAAAAACGGGATGAGTTCCCTAGGAAGTGCGCTGAAGGGACAGTGGCATCCGACACCGGAAGCTGCCCCTCTGCGGTTATTACGCTAGGCCGCTAAGCAGAAGGCGATGCATCCGTTTGAATTCCCGTGTCGACACAATTGCTAGTTCCCTAGCACCTAAAACAAGTATGCTTGCGTCCGTAATGTTCATCAGCTCTCTCGATTACTTCGCTTTCAGGTGCTGAGCGTGCTACCAATTCGTCATTAGTTGTTTTCGAGCTACACACATCTTTTTGGCAGGAACCTTTCAGATAGTGAGCCTGTTTCAATGCGGTGAGGTGAACAGCAGTACGTCATCAGATGTTGAACAAGAAGAAAGGAGCTGAATTCTAACAAGGGGTTTGCGTAGACTATTTACGCTTGTTCCTTTGTGGTATACGCCACCCCGCCCAGATGCGGAGGCCTTTATCATCTCCTGCATTGCCCGCCTTGACCGCCTTGCTAACAAGCGAATCGCGAACGCCCGATTCCAGCCGAGGACTTCCGTGGACTACAGCAGAACCCAAATACTTATGGAATAACCAAAAGCGGCTGGGTGCTCCACACTCTTCATGCGTCGTGGGCATATCGGCCCAAGGCCGTGGGATTCCTACGACAAGGGCACACTTCCATTCGTGGTGTGCAGCACAACATGGTGCAAGCCCTGCTGCAAGGCAGCACCGAAAGCAACCACAACCAACCCCCCCTGTGCTGCATGCACTTCCAAAGTTGTAGCCAATTTATAAACGTTTGCCTACCCCACAGTTGCCAGTCTCCATCCACCCTTGGAGCTGCGTAACTAAACTAGTAGCAGACCAGAGCAAGGCATGGATAGCACTTGAACATGGCAAGGAGACCGAGGAAAAAATGGAGGTGTGTAGATTAAAATAGTGAATTCAGTGGTAAAATAAAGGCAAATTTCAATTGGGGATGGAGAAGGCACCCCTGAAACTGGCATAGGGGACCAGCGGCCCTGGAAACGTCAGCAAATCTGAGCAGTCAGCTGATTTTTTCCCTGAAAGTGCCGTAGACTTGTGTTTATAAAACTAGAATTTGACTGTTTTCCTGTTAGTTATTCGTTAAAAAAGGTACATGTATGCCTGTCAGGAGCACGTGGATACAGTAGTCCGTCTATCCTTCGAAAGAAGCCACCCATCATACCATAGGTTGCCCATCTGTGGCAGAAGGCGGCTTAAAGAGGCTTCCCCGAGTTATTTGTGCTTTTCTTGACTAAAATATCCTTTACACAAAGTATATAAACACAAACCTGTACACGTATTAGGGGAAATTCTTGAAGAATACACACGGGACCCCCATTACTCATCATTTCCTTCTGCTCCGCTTGCTCTCCTGCTCCGCGCTGGCAGCAGCGGTGTCGTCATTCAGCCTATTTTCTGAAGGGCTGTTTGCTTTATTAAGTCTCAAATTCGGATGCTTTGTTTATCAGTCTCCTAAACCCTGAATCCTACACCGTAAACCCTAAACCCTAAACCCCAGTCGCGAGGATGAAGCCCCCGTCAGCTCCAATCCCCGAGTTGGGGGAGTTTATCATTGCAAATAAGGACAAACTCAGAAAGAAAGACTCAGAGGCAGAAATGAACAAGTAAGAAGGAGAAGACATAATAAAAAATTCCTACGTCGTCAGCTAAATCCTTGGCACCAGCAGACACAGCTGCTTCACAGCACACGGACCGCTGAGACAAGGAACAGCAAAACCACTAGGACCTGAAAAGCTTCCTATGGTCTAGGGTTTAGGGTTTAGGGTTTAGCCTTCACAAAATCTGAACCCTACTGAAGTGTCTACCACTATGAATTGCTCAGCTCCTTCAGCAGTTCGTTTACTGCCTATTCGGGTGTATACGCAGGTTGTTAACTGCTATAAAGTTGGCCGCAAAAGTTGTAAACAGAGAAATTAATATGGCAGGGCTAGTTGACATATTGGGGGCAGCAGGAAATCAAAATATTCAGGGAGAAGACCAGCAAAAGTTGGATGTTTTCGCCAACCGGAAGTTTATTCAGGTAGTCCAACCTTCATACACACTAGGGTTTAGGGTCTAGGGTTTAGGGCTTTGTTGTCGTTGTATGTGGCTTCTAGCGGAACTTCTTCCAAGCTTTTCATCTCTCATACCTTTACGGGGACTACGTCGGCTAAGAAGGGACTTGTTTTGGGGTTTAGGGTTTAGGGTTTAGGGTTTCGGTCTCGGTTTCGGTTTGATGCTGAGACTGTCGGGTTTGGGGTTAGGGTTTAGGATTAGGGTTTAGAAACTAGGGTTTAGGGTTTGAGCTCAGGCATTGGTAAACAGGGAAGTTGTTTGTGGGATCTGCACGGAGGAGGACGACGAATTCATTCCTGTCAATCCAAATTGCCATCTTGTGCTGCTGATGGACCCCCTAGATGGTATGCATTTGCTGCTGCTGCTGCTGCTCCTAGTGTTGCTGCTGCTGTTGCCACTATTGCTGATATCTTTGTTGCTGCTGTTGTGCTGGATGGTGCTGCTGCTGTGTCTCTGTTTTGCTGCTGGTGTAAGCATTGTGACCAAGAGATCGGCGGATAATAACCAACATATTAGGGTTTAGGGTTTAGGATTTAGGGTTTTTTCTTTATGCGCTACAAGGGTCCTCAAACATCGACGTAAATGTATCTGTAGGGACGATCTTCTCTATCTTTCAGCGTCTCTCTCCTGTTGGGCAGCCAGTAGAAAGAAGAGATTTCCTGCAGCCAGGCAAGGAGCAGCTAGCAGCAGGTTATGTCTTATATGGATCAAGCACCATGTTGGTGAGTGCTACTACTACAGATTCTGCTGCTGCTGCAGCTGCTGCCGTTGCTGCTGTTGCAGTTGTTGCTGGCTGTGTCCTTATTGCAGTCGATGATGCCTCTGTGCGTACACCTGAATTCTCCTACTTCTCTCTGAGGTGTACACGCAGGTAATGACGACAGGATCGGGTGTAAATGGATTTACTCTTGATCCTTCTCTCGGCACGTTCTTCCTTTCACACCCCAACATGCACTTCCCGGTGAGTACACTGCATCCTCTTCTACAGTCCGCATATGATGAGTGTTTAGGGTTTAGGGTTTAGGGCTTATTGGGGAGAGAATGCTGGATTGGGTATGCAGGAGACGGCGAAGATTTACAGCGTTAATGAAGGAAATTACAAGGCCTTCCCCGAGGGAGTAAAGAGCTTCATTGAAGAAGCTCACAATGGAACGGTAATTCAAGATTCAGGGTTTAGGGTTTAGGGTTTAGGGTTTAGTGGTCTAAGCCTAGAACGTGAATAGTCGAAGGTTTAGAGGGACGGAAAGAGCCGTTCTTCTATCTCTTTAGAGGTGCACTTCTAACAGAACATTTCGCAGATTAGGGTTTAGGGTTTAGGGTTTAGGGTTTGCATGCAGAATGGGCCATTCTCTCTTCGTTATATTGGTAGTTTAGTGTCTGACTTCCATAGAAATTTACTACAAGGCGGCATCTACATGTACCCACCAACGAAGAAAGGTGAATGGCACAAACCCTAAACCCCAACAGCACCGTAAACCCTAAACCCTAAACCCTAAACCCTTCATCAGAGTCTGCTGCTTCTGCAGTGTTTAGTTTATTGCTTGCTGATGAAACACGGAGCAGAAACCCTCAAGGGTTTAGGGTTTCATGTACGTATATGTATGCTAAATTAGGGTATAAATATATAAGGTATATAATAATAGTTCTTTTTCTTTTTTATTAATGTTTATGAATATATATACATATATATTAATGCATTCATGCATGCATGCATGATGAATACATGAATGGATGGATGGATGGATGGATGGATGCATGCATGCATGCATGCATGCAGACCCAAAAGGGAAGCTACGCTTATTATATGAGGCAAATCCTATGGCATTATTAGCTGAGCAAGCAGGAGGAGAAGCAACAGATGGATTTGATAGAATATTATCAATAATTCCTCAAGATTTACATCAAAGAGTTCCTCTCTTTGTTGGTAGTTCTTCTCTTGTACAACATGTTACACAACTCATGAAGACACAAAGTCCACAGTGTAGATTGCATGCAAATACTCTAGCTCAGTAAATACCAGCAGCAGAAACAGGAACGACAGTTGGTGGTAGTTATTCTCTTGTTCAACATGTTACCCAACTCATGAAGACACAAAGTCCACAGTGTAGGCTGCAGCAGCAGCAGCAGGGGCTGCTGCTGCTGCTGCTGCTGTTCTTCTCTTGTTCAACACGTTATACAACTCATGAACACACAACATCCACAGCGTATATTACATGCAAACATCCATGAATAGAAGCAGCAGCAGCAGCTGCTGCTGCTGCTTCTTCTGCTGCTGCAGCAACATCAGCTGCTGCTGCTGCAGCAACAGCAGCAAGACGTTCGGCTGATGATGATGATGATGATGATGATGATAGGGAGATGCGGCGGATGTGCAGCAGCAATGGATAGGATGCACGCATGATGCATGCACGGGATGCATGCAGGGGATGCATGCATGCGTAGGGGCTGCATGCAACCTAATATGTATAGTATTTGTTGTATATATATGCCTATATAATATATATAAATAATAGATAAATATTTTATATATAATATATATGTGGCATTAATAGGGATAAAAGAATAAATATAAATAAATAACAAGAAAATAAAATAATTATTTATTTATTTAATAGGCAAATAGATGGCCATAGAAGAAAACCCTAAACCCTAAACCCCTTTCTTAATAGCATAAACCCTAAACCCTAAACCCTCCTCCTGTCAGCACAAACCCTAAACCCTAAACCCTCATCTTTCCAATGGCCATTAAGACACATGAACACTAAACCCTAATCTTGCAATGTATAGTAAACCCTAAACCCTTGTAAACCCTAAACCCTCGTAAACCCTAAACCCTAATGCCACATTACAAACCCTAATTTCTCCTCTGTCTCTTATTTTTCCTTGCCATAGGGCAGTGCTTATATATATAAATATAAATAAATAAATATAAATAAATATATATTTATATATATAAGTATATAGATAAATATATTTATATATATGTATATATGTGCATATGTATACTTCTTTGTACATGTGTATATTTCTTGTATATGTACATATATGTATATGTACGTATTTACGTATGTACATATAATATATGTATATGTTGTATATTTTTATGTATATATACACATAAATATACATACGCATATATACATATGTATATGTATATAATTAAATATATATACAAGACGTATATTAGCATCTATATATATTCCTCTCCTCCCTTATATATACAAGCGGGTTATTATATACAATTATATTTATACTTCCCCTCCCCTTTATATATATA